TCCGTACTCTAGGCATCGTAACCGATCGTAAAGGATGTCAAGAACCAAAATCCGCCAACGTTGATTCTTTACTGCGGCTGAAATATTCATTTTTAGAGCGTTAGTGAATTAAAAAAAGGCAGTATAAAAACCGGAATGTCCAACTGATAAGGCTGAACATTTTTTCACTTGTTATTTACAGTAAGATAAATACATTCACCAACTTTTATTAAAATAAAACCATTTAAACTGGGTGTTCGGATGTCACTTAGTATATTTTCTGCAATTGATATGCGAATTTTCTGATTTAATATCTCCTACTATGTATTTCTTCCTATAGACCTCTCGCAGATAGCCGTTAAACATCTACTTGATGCCAAAGACTTTTTACCTTGCTGGTTTCCAAACATTCATTCATTCATTTACTTCCAGTTCAGAAGTACCATTATGGCACCTTAGATTCATATTCTTACATTAAGGATTTTTGATATCCGCATACTCAAAAAGTTGAATATTCTTCCTTGTTCAGACAGTAAACAAACACGTACACTAAATGTTTAATGAACGAAAGCCAAAGGATATACTAGAAACCGATAAAGTTCAAAAATAATGTTTTGAAATTGAAATTTGTAGTTAATTTTCATTTTAATATTGTTTTTATTTTGTCATTATCTTCAGTGGGTGATATGTTGTATAAAAGCCATCTGGTTTTTATTCCTCTTAACTAACAGCATTTACCTATATTCTTTTTTAATAATTTCATTTTGTCCTGTTTATATCCTTCAACTGAACCATGATCGTATCCAGGCAACCAGTTGTGCACCTTCTGCTTAGGGTGAAATCTCGTCTCCTATCTCGTTCTCGTTCGTTCACTCACTGATTCGCTTGGATACCAGTGGTTTGTGGTGAGCGACCGAACGAGTTTTTCAAGGATTGATGAACTAATTCACTTGGTTCAGTCACAAGAATTATTCGTATGAACTAATTCGTTCGTGAACGAAATGCATATCGCTACAATTGTCAAGGTTACGCTGGGTTCTGGGGAGACTTAAACAAATTGCTGCCATTAATTTTTTGACAAACATTTATTAAAATAACACAACTACATGAAACTTATTGTAAAAAAGCTATACTACATATAAGTGAAAAGTGCTTCAGAAAACAACTATAATTCGTCGAGAACCGAAACATTAGGAACTGACATAAAAAGCCCCTATAGGGGAGCATCCTAAAATATAAAATGCGTTTTTATCGAGATAAGAGCCTCTGAATTATAAAAAAACATTTACTTAGCGACTATATGGATTTTACCTATTTTATACATGTAGTGAACGTAGAGAAATCATATCTCGACAAGAATATTCTAAAGTCTGAGGCTCATCAACGGATCTTATGTTTAGCCGATTTAAATTTTTCGGTGATTTTCTACACACAACGTGACACAATTCTCGGAACATCTCTGTATTTTCTCTTGTAAGGTATTTTTAGAAAAGATGAAGGTCACATCTTCAGTAACGTTCAGCAAGAAATTCAACGGTATCCCTGAATTTGCCCTTCACCATCAAGGTTAATTCATGGTCAACTCTATAATAGATTCAATATATACTATTGTTGATAGCGGCAATCGAAAGAACAGACAATTTTACGTCCAAACACAATCAAAGTCCAAGGTCAGGATGACTACGAAAAGTCAAATGAAGATCAAATGTGTGTTGCTGGGAAAACTTTTTTTTTAATAAATATCACTATTTTTTATGTCAGCAATCGAAAGAGCGGAAAATTTTACTTCCAAATACGAACTGCAGTCCAAGGTCAGGGTGCCATCTAAAGGTCAAATATGTGCCGTCAGGAAAACCTTCATAAATCTCACAGGATAAGTAACGAAAACTATCATGGGTCTTTGGTAAATTTTAATCAGAGGGTGAACGATGATCCTGGATTTGACCTTGATCCTCACATTCAAGGTCAACTATTTTTTTAATAGAAATCTGTATTTTTGATGCCGAAGCGAAAATTTTACGTTCAAATATGAATTGAAGACCATGGTCATGGTGCCCACTAAGGGTCAAATGGAGGTCAAATGTGTGCTGTGATCTTGGATTTGACCTTGAACCTCACCTTCAAGGTCATTGTAAAATCAAGTCTATTTTTCCAAATGTAAACGCTTATTTGGTGTCGATAATCCAGAGAGCTGGAAATTGTATGTGTATTAGAATTCAAGGTCAAGGTGACCACTAGAGGTCACAAAAAGGTCAAATGTGTGCTGCTAAGAAAATTTCTAGAAATCTCACACGAATAGTGATGAAAATAATTGGCAAGGTCAGATCTTTGGGTAAGTTTTAAGTTGACGTCGGCTGTGGTATAACTTGCCTTCATTTAGCTACAGTTTTACGTTCAAATATGAATTGAAGACCAAGGTCATGGTGACCACTAAGGGTCAAATGGAGGTCAAATGTGTGCTGCTAGGAAAACCACTATGCATCTTACAGAATTAGTGATAAAATAACTATGAAAGTCAGTTCTTTAGTGAATTTTGACGTGTGATCTGGGATTATACCTTGGACCTCACCTTCAAGGTCATTTTAAGATCTTTTTTCAAACAGAAACAAACAGAAACCCGCAGGAACAGTATCGGTTGAAAATCACAGCTCCCTTGTTACAACTTTCTTAAAGTCTATACTTTTTTTTAATGAAAACTCCTATTTTACATCCGAATATGTATTAAAATTCAAGATTAAGATGACTTCTGAAGGTCAAATAGGTTGAACAAAGGTCAAATATTTGCTAGTGATAGAAACAACCATCAAGGTCAGTCCTTTAGTAAATTTTGGCGAGTGATCTTGGAGTTGACCTTGAACCTAACCTTCCAGGTCATTTTAAGATCAAGCCTATTTTTCCAAATGTAAACGCTTATTTGATGCCGACAATCCAGAGAGCCGGAAATTTTACGTGTATTAGAAATCATGGTCAAGGTTACCACTAGAGGTCACAAAACGGCCAAATGTGTGCTACTAGGAAAATTTCAAGAAATCTCACACGAATAGTGATGAAAATAATCGGCAAGGTCAGATCTTTGGGTAAGTTTTAAGTTGACGTCGGCTGTGGTATAACCTGCTTTCATTTAGCTACAGTTTTACGTTCAAATATGAATTGAAGACCAAGGTCATGGTGACCACTAAGGGTCAAATGGAGGTCAAATGTGTGCTGCTAGGAAAACCACTATGCATCTTACAGAATTAGTGATAAAATAACTATGAAAGTCAGTTCTTTAATGAATTTTGACGTGTGATCTGGGATTATACCTTGGACCTCGCCTTCAAGGTCATTTTAAAATCTTTTTTCAAATAGAAACCCGCAAGAACAGTATCGGTTGAAAATCATAGCTCCCTTGTTACAACTTTCTCAAAGTCTATATTTTTTTTAATGAAAACTCCTATTAAAATTCAAGATTAAGATGACCTCTGAAGGTCAAATAGGTTGAACAAAGGTCAAATATTTGCTAGTGATAGAAATAACCATCAAGGTCAGTTCTTTAGTAAATTTTGGCGAGTGATCTTGGATTTGACCTTGAACCTCACCTTCCAGGTCATTTTAAGATCAAGCTTATTTTTCCAAATGTAAACGCTTATTTGATGCTGACAATCCAGAGAGCCGGAAATTTTATGTGTATTAGAAGGTTACCAGTAGAAGTCACAAAAAGGCCACACGAATAGTGATGAAAATGATTGGCAAGGTCAGTTTTGAGTTGACGTCGGATGTGGTATAACCTGCTTTCGAAAGTGAATTCTATTATGGGTGATTTTTTGCTAGTATCTTTTTGGCAACACTGTTTTTGACAGATGACGCGTGAATCGTGTCTTGTGTCATTGTCAAACTTGTTCAGTTTGGTCTATAATTTAACCATGAATCGACTTACGAACGAACATCGCTTGCAAATTATTGAATTTTACTATCAAAATTGCACTGCTTCCAATTTATGGGCAATTTGGTCGGCCTACTGAAGGAGCTATTCGGAAGCTTGTGACTAAATTTCGAACCCAGTTTACATTATTGGACATTAAACCACCAACACGCAGACGTAGAGTGAGGACTGAAGAAAATATTGCGGCTGTATCCGCCAGTGTTAGTGATGACGTGAAATGTCGATTCGCCGCCGTTCGCAGCAATTGGGCCTCTGTTACTCCACTACGTGGAAAATTTTGCGACAGGATTTGGGTGTAAAACCTTATAAGATACAGCTGGTGCAAGAATTGAAGCCACACGACCTCCCACAACGTTTCCAATTTGGTGAATGGGCGCTGGCAAAGTTGGAGGAAGATCCACATTTTTATCGAAAAATTGTGTTCAGCGACGAAGCTCATTTCTGGTTGAATGGGTACGCAAACAAGCAAAATTGCCGCATCTGGAGTGAAGACCAGCCAGAAGCATTGCAAGAGCTACCAATGCATCCCGAAAAAATCACTGTTTGGTGTGGATTATGGGCCGGTGGCATCATCGGGCCGTACTTCTTCAAAGACGACAATGGCCGGAACGTAACTGTGAATGGCGAGCGCCACCGTGCGATGATAACAAACTTTTTTTTGCCCAATATGGAAGAGCTGGACTTGGCTGACATGTGGTTTCAACAAGACGGTGCCACATTCCCACCGCACACGAAACAATGGCCCTATTGAGAGGCGAGTTCGGTGAACAGTTTATCTCACGTTTGGGGCCCGTCAATTGGCCGCATAGATCGTGTGAATTAACGTCATTGGACTATTTCTTGTGGGGCCATGTTAAGGCTAATGTCTACAGGGATAAACCAGCATCGATTGACGCACTGGAAGCCAATATTGAAGCATTTATTCGTGAGATACCGGCCGATATGTTGAAGAGAGTATGCCAAAATTGGACCTTGCGCATGAGCCATCTAAAGCAGAGCCGTGGCCAACATTTACATGAAATAATCTTTAAACATTAAATTATAACGATCGTTCTATCGACTCGAATAAAGGTTTAATCGTTTTTTCTAATTTTTTGTGTTTTTTTTGAAAATCAAATCCTATACCTGTTAAAAAATCACCCGTTAGAAACAGATGTCAGATTAAGTTCTCCCTCGGTATGCTTCAGCATATGCGAAACTAAGTTGCTCTTGAACGTGGTTTTATATATACAGTGTGTACATTCATGTATTTTAATAGAAACAGATGACAAAAAGTCCGGATGTTTCCTAACTATATGATCATCTAAACTTCGATTACTTTTGAATCTTGCCGTACAATGAATACATGTACTATGATTGAGTTCTCCCTCCGAATGCTTCAGCACGTGTCTATCTAAAGTGTTTTTTACTACTGTTTTATACGTACAATGTGTACATTCGAATATTTTTCGTGAAACAGTTGCTAGAAATTCGGGATGTTTCTTAATTATGTGATTATCTAAATTTCGATTACCTCTGAAGGTCGCGTTACAGTGAATACATGTACTGGACTTATGACTATGTTCTCCCTGGGAATGCTTCAACATATGTGTAGCTAAATGGGTTTTTGAGATGGTTTTATATGCACAATGTGTACAATCATATATTTTACTAGAAACAGATGCCAGAAATTCGGGATGTTTCTTAATTACATGATAATCTAAGCTTCGATTACATCTGAATGTCGAGTTACAGTGAATACATGTACTGGACTTATGACTATGTTCTCCCTGGGAATGCTTCAACATATGTCTAGCTAAGTGGGTTTTCGATGTAGTTTTATATGCACAATGTGTACATTCATGTATTTTACTAGAAACACACGACAAAAAGTCCGGATGTTTCCTAATTATATGATCATCTAAACTTCGATCACTTCTGAATCTTGCCGTACAGTGAATACATATACTATGATTAAGTTCTCCATCAGAATGCTTCAGCATGTGTCTATCTATACTTCTTGTTACTACGGTTTTATACGTACAATGTGTACATTCGTATATTTTTCGTGAAACAGTTGCTATAAATTCGGGATGTTTCTTAATTATATGATCATCCAAATTCCGATTACTGCGAAACTTTGTATTACAGTGAATACAGGTACTGAGCTTATACCGGGACTTACGACTATGTTTTTCCTCGGAATGCTTCAATATATGTGTAGCTAAATGGGGCTTTAAGATGGTTTTATATGTACAGTGCATACAATTATATATTTTACTAGAAACAGATGCTAGAAATTCGGGATGTTTCTTGATTATATGACAATCTAAATTTTGGTAACTTCTGAATGTCGCGTTACAGTGAATACACGTAATGAGATTACGTTTACGTTCTCCCTCGAAATGCTTCATCATATGTATAACTAATAGGTTTTTCAAAGTGGTTTTAAATGTGCATTGCGTACATTCATGTATTTTATTAGAAACAGATGCCTCAAACCCGGGATGTTTCCTAATTATATGATCGCCTAAAGCTCTTTTACTTTTGAAAGCTGCATTGCAATGGATACATTCGAACCTACCGTCACGTTTTCGCTCAGCATGCTTCACCATATGTGTATCTAACTGGTTACTCATGGTGGTCTTATATGTACATTTGCTACATTCATGTATTTTACTAGTAATAGAAGTTACAAATTCAGGATGTTTCCTAATTATATGATCCCCTAAAGCTCTATTAGTTTTGAAAGCTGCATTGCAATGAATACATTCAATGAGCTTACGGCTACGTTCTCCCTCGGAGTGATTTAGCATATGTGTACTTAACTGCGTTTTAGAGGTTGTGTTATATGTACACTGTATACATTCCATATTATTATAACTATCCAAATTGTCTTCATCGTGTTGCCCTCCAGAGTGTGTCCAATTCAGCTCACTGAAAGAAATAAAAAATTACAGTATATTCAGATAAGAGATAGACCGGATGTAAACAAAAGGTTCGGGTGATTTTCACGCTAACGCCGCCGTCTCGACGTAAAACAGGAGCCCTCATTGGTCAATTCGCAATTAAATGCCTATGCCGAGCGGCAGAGCAGTCGTATCAAGGCAGAGTCACATTCAGGTTCAGACGTGTTACGTATGTCGTGTGCATCATTGCAATTTGATATTTCTTTGGACGTTTTCGTTTGTTATCTTATTAAGTTGTTGAGTTTGTCGTTGTTATTGTTATATTATATATATATATATATATATATATATATATTATATTGTTATTGATTATTATTGTTATCAACTGCTTGCGCAAAATGCCCAGTAGTACAGATACTGCCAATGAAGTTGTAAACTCCTGTAGTCCACCTAGGAAACGCTCTAAAAAAAGACACCTGAGTGCAGAAATGAAAGAGGTCATTTTGAATATATATAAGATCGAGCGCGAGGAGAACGAGGCATCAACCATCAAAGAAATTGTTGTGAAGGTTTCTCACAAAGTTGGGGTGTGTCGCGCATCAGTGTTTAATGTGTTAAGACAATACAAAAAAAATCACACCTTTTCTGAGCCAATGACCAGTAAACATCGCAAAAGTATTGTTAAATCATTGGATGAAGCTGATAAGCTTGCGATTAGGAGGAAAGTACACGAATTCTTCTTTAGGAATGAAATACCTACTATAGATAAAGTACTGCAGGAGGTAAATGGAGATACAACGTTGCCAAGTTTCAAACGATCAACTTTCCATGCGTTACTGAAGCATTTAAATTTCAAATGGAAAAAACGGGGTCGTAATAGTTTACTACTGGATAGAGAAGAAATTGTGCTATGGAGGAGGGATTATTTAACAAAAATTGGGAAATATAGAAATCAAAACAGGAAGATTTATTACCTTGATGAAACGTGGGTAAACGCAGGACACACTACAAGTAAAGTATGGGTTGATGATTCTGTAACTTCATCCAGGAGGGCCTTTCTAGATGGACTGTCCACCGGATTAAAAAATCCAGCAGGTAAATACGAGTAATAGACAACAATCGGATGTTTTTCAAACCTTGGGAACAAGGTTCTAAACATTAATTCCAGGGGGCAGATAAAACATATTACAAATAACAAAACTTTTATAACTTTCGATAAAATGCGTGGATGTTTTATTGTCATTTTCATTTGTTAGAACTTTTTTAAGCCATGTTTTTATGTGTTTTCGATATTTCAATAATTTTTTAATATAATCTTAAACTATGTCGAATATTATAAACTTAAAAAAAGTTACTAAGTTTTATATTGTGTACCGTTCCTAATATTTCTAATCATTTTAATTCATACTTTAAGCTTTATAAAGTTATAATTTGTTAATATTAATATATGACTAAATAATCCCAATTATAGCAATCTGATACTCATGTCTCAATGTTTTTTCGCTGAATGTGATGAAAACATTTGAAAAAGGTTCGCTTATTGAAATAAATCTACACCAGTTAGTACTTCGATTTCCAGGTAAAGGGAAAAGGCTCATTATCTGCCATATTGGCAGTGAGGATGGATTTGTTGTTGACGGTCTGTGGTGCTTTGAGTCTAAGAAAACTGGAAATTACCACGAGGAAATGAATGGCGAATCGTTTGAACAGTGGTTTTCAAAAATTTTACCGAACTTAGAGGAAAACGCAGTAATTGTGTTGGATAATGCGCCTTATCATTCTCGAAGAATGGAGAAGGTCCCAACAACGGCTTCAAGGAAAGTTGATGTTCAAAATTGGCTCCGCTCGAAAAATATCAACTTTGAAGAAGCAATGCTGAAAGTAGGTACAATTATTAAGAATTGTCAAGGATCACAAGGCGGAATATCAAAAATACGCCATTGACGAAATGGCAGCAAGTCAAAATAAAACTGTGCTCCGTTTACCTCCATACCATTGCGAGCTCAATCCCATTGAGCTCATATGGGCAGAGGTTAAAAATTATATAGCTAAGCACAATACAACTTTTAAATTTTGTGACCTCAAAGGACTTTTCAAAGAAGCACTAGAATTAATAACAGAGCAAAAATGGGAAAACTGTATTAAGCACGTGAAAGACAAAGTTGAAAAGAGAATGTGGGAACTGGACAATATTTTAGAGGAACAAGTCGAGCCATTCATTATTGACGTTGGTGCTTCAGGCAGTAGCGATGATGAAAACTCATCAAGCTCATCTTTCCAATAAAAGATGTCGTTCATCAAATTCGGTAAGTTATAAGTAATTATAAAGCTACTGTATTTTTCAATTAATTATTGACATTTTTGAACCCATTTTGGCAAAACCTATTCAAGAATCTACTTTCTGACAATGTTCAACCATGCACATTTTTTTTACGTTTTGAACGTTTTAATTTGATTACATATTTACCTAGAAATCAAAAAATATACTAATCAATATTCTAAAAGCAATTTTAAGAGATATACGATTATTTTTAATTTAGGCTAATTTAAACGCCATTTTGAGATTATATTCGACTGTATTTCACCAAACATCAGACGGCATTCGAAGTTGGAAATCGAAGCGAAAATTTTGAAACCCTTATGTATATTTACATCATTATATATTTCTTACCCCACCCCCACATGATCCTATATCCATCACCAATCGTATACACATCGAATTGTGCTAATTTACTACAAAGTTACGCAAAGCAGCATCTACTATCTAAAATATGTACTGCGTGACTCTTAATACGTCCCTGTCGAATGTTACAGCATTCGATGATCACGTGGTCTTGTTTATGTCGGGTCTATCTCTTATCTGAATATACTGTAGGCGTAACTTATTTCTCTAACTGTTGTTTGAAATTTTATCACAATGTGGATGATTGATATGTCGTCTATAAAGTTTTTAGATTCACGACATTTCAGATGTGATCCTCAATCGTCATCAGTTCACCTGATGAGATCTCATAAAGTTAATTCAACAATAATAACAATGAGTAATCTTTATTTGCAAATGCAACAGCTTTAAACCACTTGTGGTAAAAATACTGGATGCGATATCTATTACTTTTATTTACCTATAAGTTTATGTGTTACCTTGTGAGTCAAAAGTCATAAGTGGACTGTCAAAGGTATGCCATTTATAGTCATGGATTCGCAACAATTGGGAATTAGTAAGACGACTTTACGCCAGATTTTACACATTGATTTACACCTCCATCCATGCAAAATCCAACTAATACAAGAATTGAAGCCGGCTGTCCATCAACAGCGGCGTGTTTTTGTTTATTGGATGCTGGAAAGAGAAGACGGATTTTCGGCCAAAGTGCTCTTTTCTGATGAGGCTCATTTTCACCCCAATGGGTATGTAAATAAGCAAAATTGCTGATTCTGGGGGGCTGAAAATCCACACCAATATCATGAACAACCTCTCCAACCTGAAAAAGTAACTGTTTGGTGCGGATTATGGGCTGGTGCATCGTTGGACCATTCTTCTTTGAAGATGCCGAAGAAAAGGCCATTACCGTCAACGGGGAACGTTATCGCGGAATGTTAACAGACTTTTTGTGGCCACAATTGGATCGTATTGATACCGACGATCAGCAGTGAGCAACGGCTCACACATCTCGCCAAACAATCGCCTTATTGCACACGAAATTTCAAGACCGCGTAATTTCACGAAATTCAGATGTCAGTTGGACTCCGAGATCGTGCGATTTAACACCTCTTGACTATTTTCTTTGGGGATTTTTGAAAGGAAAAGTGTATGCGAATGGTCCCCGGACAATTCAAGACCTAAAGCGCAATATTCGGACTGAAATTGCGGTCATAGACCCGATGATTCTGGGAAAAGTCATTGAAAATTTTGATGTTCGGATGATGGCCTGTAAACGAAGCCGCGGTGGTCACATGACTGATGTTATTTTGCATACATAAACGGTGTAAACCAACCTTCATTTATCAAAAAAAAATCGATTTCACCTCGTAAAAAGCGTGTTGATTTTTCAAGTAGAAAAAAAGTAATAGATGACGCACCCTGCAACCAAACAAAATGAAAGATAAAATCTTGCTCTAAAGCATATTATTCAAACTCAAAAAGTGCCGCATATTGTAAACCGAAGAGCAAAAAAAGGATCTTCAGGTCCTATTTGCAAAAATGTGACACTATTAACGGGGTGGAAGGGGGTGGGGTAGGGCACACTACTAGTTGATTTTTTTAATAAAAAAAACTCTTTTTATAAATTTTTCAAATCACCTCTGATTTTCTCTGATCTTAGCTGTGACATCTTTCGTAGATGACTCCTTCACCCCACACTTTTTTTTACTTAAATTATTCCGTGAAAAAGAATGAAACAGTTAAGTTGAAAAAAGTTAATTTCCGAAAAATTTCATCCATGATGCAAAAAGTTCCACTAATCGAAACATATTCGGCCGGTTGGCAACACTGCGTGGTCGATGACAGCTACAACGTAAAGTTATGCTTTTGCAGCTTTTGGCGCCACTATTCATGCGTAACAAGGTGGTGCAAGCGCCATCTCTGGTGCAAGGGACCAACTAACTGAAAAACACCTTACAGCAAGCAGACTCCAGCTCGAGTTTATCGACGGGCATAGTACAAATCTGATGAAATAGATGGCACCATCCGCCGCAT